ATTAAAATCATTATTCTTCATAATTCCCATACTTATGTAGATTGAAATTGCCTACATCATCCCCTGGGCTGATGTGAAAAGCATAACTTTTTATGATGTCATACATCTTACCAGAGATCACTTTTCCTTAAAGCAAGAAAGTTGCTTTTTCTTCAGGTCACTATTTGAGAAATAGACTTAAATATGTCTGTCAAAACTTTGCCTGTACATCTATCTGCTCTCCTAAAAGTGGATATGTATCAGAGAGCTCTTTGTACTATACGAACCTTGCCAATCTTTATCGGTGGTAATATTTTAGTCCTCATTTCTGGAACAAGCCTAATTTTCTTTACTATTTCTTCTCTTCCAGAAAACGTTAGTTTAGCCTTTAAAAAAATTCATCTTCCACTTTTGTGATCAGAGAAAAATTAATTATATTTATAGCTTTTGCTATTTGTGCTTCTCATTGATAAATTGTGCCATTAAACACAAACTGTATTTATCTAATTTCCTGGCTGTCTATCTCTTTTAGTCTCAACAGTTTCCATTCATCTTAGCCACTTAGGTTAGCTTCCACATTTACTCTCTCTCTCTCTCAATCTCTCTCAATGTATTTGCTATGAGCTTTCATAGTACGCAGCATTTTTCCCAGTAGGTGAGCATCTAACAACTCACTCTGAGTTAGTGCACCAGTGGCGTCACCTGGGAAAGTTCTCTCTGGTCACAGTGCATTTTTTGGTAAAAGCTGTTTCACTCTAACCTCATTTTTTTTTTGGTGATGGCTGATTTAAGAGAGCAGTGTGAAGCTGTGATTTTTTTGTTTTCTGCTCGGGAAAAATGCTGCAGAAACTGTTGTGATGTTGAACACAGCTTATAAGGGCAGTGCTATGGGGAAAACTCTAGTGTATGAGTGGTTTTCTTGATTCAAGAAAGGTGAAATGTCAATTGATGACAAACCTCCTTCTGGATGTCTGAACTTCCTGAATAGATGAAAATGTTAATTTGTAGTGCATTTGGAGTTTGTTCCACCAGGTCAGACTGTTAATCAAGCCTTCTATTTAGAGGTTCTGAAAAGATAGCGAAACAGTGTGTGGCAGAAAAGGTCTTATTTGTGGCAGATG